GGAACAGCGCGAGCCTGAGTGAAGGTGTAGAAGCACCTGTCTCATTTGCTGCTCTTGTGGCAGGCACAGTTTCTGGCTCAATGAGTAGTTAACAGAGAAGTGAGCTTCTCTAGTTGATACATGGGGAAACTGAAACCTAAGAAGGTTTTACAGCACACCTGGAGCTCTGGCCTGCCTGGGCCAGGCCCACCCTGCCTCAAGGGCTCAGCAGAAGGCCCCTCCGAAGTCTGGCGTGTGCTGAGGGGCCACAGCCCAATGCCTCTCCAGCCACATGAAAAGCCTGGGATATTTTTGCCCACAGGGCAGGCCCAGTGTCCTCAGGGGCTGTGTAATTAGAAGCAGCTCTGAGCTGACTAGAGACTGGAGCTGGGGGCTGTGGTGGGCCAGGCGGCCCGCCCTGGGCTCAGCCTGGAAGGACCCTGGCAGAGACTGGAGGTGGGAGGTTTTTCCCTCACCCTCCTGCCTCCTTGGCTGTTCAACAGGGCGGGGGTCACAGCTGCTAATTGCATGGTGGGCACAGGGCGAGGCCCCTGAATCACTCCAAGGCTGGGCAGAGGGCCTGGGTGCCACTCTCTCAAATTACAAGCTGCAAGTGGGCGGCCCAGCCTGCTCCTTACCACAGGCCTGTTTGAGCCCCTCAGAGCCATGGCGGAATGATTCAGGGGGGCTCACTGGGGTCGGGCCCAAAAACAGATTTCTAGAACTGTAGGGTGCAGAGTGTGAGCATTACCTCACAAAAACCTGAGAATGCAAAAGTAGAAGCGAGAAAGGCCACTCCCAGCCAGACAAGCATTTACTGCACACCTACTATGTTCCAGGCACTGTACCAGGTGCTGGAGGAAGGGCCGTGCACAAGACAGGTCCTGGCTCACGCAGACCTGGCCCATCTACTCTAACTTGATGATAACTTTGGGATCTGCCTGAAGGTGCCGGGCTCCCATCAACCTCAGGACCTTTGCACGTACCATTCTCACTGCTGGGCATCCTTTTGCAACCTTGCCTTCCTAACTCCCTTCTCCTCATCTTCACCAGCAACTCTACCATCACCTCCTCAGGTCTGGGACCAGAATGGCCCCCCTGCCAAGTGTTCTGACAGCCTCCAAGCTGCCCGTCCCAACTCTGAGCTCAGTTTGCAATTAGATAGACATTTGCTTTTTAACACTGGTCTCCCCTCTGCTCTGCAGTTCTTTCTTTCTTTTTTTTTTTTTTTTAAAGATTTATTATTTATGCACACAGAACTGGGGTACAGGCCAGAGGTGCAGGGGCAGTGAGAGGCTTCACCAGAGACAGAGTGGGGAGCAGAATAGGCAAATCGACAATGTACACTGTTGAGGGGAGCAGCGGGCAGGTCAGGAGAGGTCTGCCATGCCATGTGGGTCACCTCCGGGGCCAGGGATCGAACTCACACTGAAGTGGCTGCAACTAGCTTGCACCACCAGGGAGGTCCTGCTCTGCAAGTTCTGTACCTATTTGCTTATCATTGTCTCCCAGGGCCAGACGACTGGGCTGGGTGTGAAGTGAATGCTCAAAAGTACCAGCAGGGTGAAGGGCATTCAGAATGTGAGGGTGCTGGGACTGAGGCTCAGCAGCCTTGTGGCAGGCTCCTGGCCCACCCGCTTTATCTGCAGCCGGAGAGGGGCAAACATCCACCAGCCACCCACAGCGGAGTCATTTTTACTGCCTGGCCCCAGATTGTGGGCTGGGATATTCGCTAAAGGAGAGCATGTGTGTGTGTGACATAGTCTGACAGTCCTTCAACAGGGCGGAGTACTGGGGCCGCACTGGGGAACAAGCCCCTGTGGGGGAGGATTCAAGGCCTGGAAGTCTCATTCTAGGTCAGACACAGGGCGGTGGTGCAGAAGAACGTCAGTTCTGATTCTCCACCTGTACACACTGCTGTGAGCCTCAGTTTCCACATCTGTTAAATGGGTTTATTTCTTTGCTTCTCCCAAGTGCTGACGGCATCTGCTGGGTGTGAGACACAGTGGTGGGCTCCATGGGGCGGGCAGCCAAGGGCCCTCGTGGTGGGAGGTTCCAGCTCCCCAGGAACAGGCCCCCCTTGTCCCTAAACATCTGGCCCCTGAGCCGCAGAGCCCGGTGGGAACAGGCTGCATCACCATCTGTGTGGTGCACCCGTGATGGCCCCACACAGCTGGGCCATCCAGTGGCCCATGTCTCAAAGGGTACAGATAAAGGTACAGATTTTAGATTTCCCAGACTGTCAGGGTAGGCCCAGTGTCAGCACCAGGTCCTTAAAGCGACAGCGCGGATCAGGAGAGAACCAGAGGGATGGCAGTGTAGGAAGTGCTCCCTGAGACCTGCCTCTGACTTCTGACGGCCAGACTGTAAGGCGACCCATATGTATTGTTTCAGCCACTTAGTCTGTGACAACTTGTTACAGCAGCCAGAGTAAACTCATCCACTTGGCATCTGGCGGATGCATTTCTAGCTCCAGCTGCTCCCTCCCTCCTGCCCCCTGGTCCTTCCCAGCAACCTTGTGAGCAGTTGAGAGTCTGTTCTCATTGCACAGGTGACAAAGCAGTCAGGACACCAACTGGGTGCTGGCCTAGGGGCCCTTGTGGGATTTGCTTTGCCCCCAAAAGAAGCAGCACAGACTGCCCCCGCCCACCACCACCAAGTGCTAAGGCCGCTGGGCTCCACATGCAGGAAGCAGGCCCATGTGGGCTGATTGCGCCTGGGATTCCTTGCGGTCCTTGGCTCCACGGGAAGCGGGCCCTAGGGGAGGTCTGGCTGCTCCTGCCCACCTGCTGTCTGCCCTGAGACATCCCTGGTCAGCTGCTGCAACATGTCGTGGGTGGCTGTGTGGATGTGGGGGTGTGTGCACGAGTATATGAGTGTGTGTGCACCAGAATATGTCTGTGTGCCTGAATATGTGTGCGAGTGTATCAGCATGTGCACAAATATATGAGCGTGTG